AGTAGTATATATATATATATATATATATATATATAGCCACTAGTTTATATGAACATATAAGCCCAAATGCCCAGATTAAATTTAGGCCGATCTGACGGTCACGACCTCATTTCGTATTTGAATTTTAATTTTTTTCTATAAATTCAAATAACATGAAATTTTAAGCATGTATTATTCAAAAATAGAAAAATCTAATAAAAATATAAAAAATAATAATTTGAAAGAAATAAATTGACCAAATTACCCTTGAGATTTTTTGGGTATATGTGTGTGTGATAGAGATATATATAGAGAGAGGGAAAATCTATATTAAAAGATAATATTAGTTTTGAGTTCTCCTAATATGATTAAGCCATCATCATTTGGATGGTGGGGGTAGCCATAGCTTTGAAGTGATCTTGTAAGAGGACTTGCATACGTCTTAACCCAAAGAGAAAGGAAACTCAAATTTACCTCTTTCGGGTTTCCTAGGCACTCAAAAGTGCCATCCAAGTCGATCACAAAGAACATCTGCCTCTTCCATAGAATGTGCTGCAGTCAAAAGATCAAGCTTTAGAGTGCTTGTGCGCGTGCGCCACAGAGAGAGAGAGAGAGAGAGAGCACTGAAAACCATTAAAAGTCAAGTAAGAAAAGCATGGAGTGAAAAGAGTTCAAATTTGTCTTCTTCAGATGGAACCAGATCGGTAAATTTCACTTCCTCCTCTAGAAAGATTGCTCGATATCGATCGAGATTTCTATGTGGTTAAAATATGGTATCATAAAGGGAACCAAAGCAATATTACTCGTAAGAATGATTGCCCGATCTTGCTTTGCGCTTTTAATGACGCTCCATAAGCTGTTTCTTGAAGTAGGGTCTAGTCCTGTGCTAGGTTCATCCAAATATACAACCTAGTAATCATAAACTTAAATTTCAGTTCTTATTGTTACAAAGAAAAAATAAGCTTGAATATTTTGCCAAATAAACAAAAGGCGCATGAACACACAAACACACAAAAACAAATGGGCTTGTAAAAGAAAGGAGAAAATTGTGGTGGAGACTACAGGAAAGATGGAAATATGAGATATGGAAATAATAAAAACAAGAGCTCAATTGGCCACATAAAAGTTTTACCCAAAAATTTCCCACATAAAATTCTTCTTTAGTACACCTTTAATGAAGATTCAAATATTTGTGTAAAAGTATTAGTAAGATTTAGGCCCAAATCTCTTCACCAAATTAAGTGGTATTTATACATGACATTGTATGACATGCCAGGGGCCATGTCATGGCATGTCATGTGACATGTCAGCCAAGGGGGAGACACATACCTGTGGATTTCCAATTAGAGAACTGGCATCGCTCAGCCTCCTCTTCATACCCGCACTGTAATTCCCAGCTCTTTTGTCCCCAAAACCTCCATTGTAGAGATTAAGGCTCTTCAAAGATTCGTCTACCGCCTGTAACATGAAAATCTCAGAATTATACGGCACATACATATCGATACATACATAGAATAACAAGCGCTCCCTACCAGTGAGTGTTTCCCATAGCAAGCTGGATTACACAGCACAGAAAATTCTCAACAGATATAGTACTCTGAACTGTTAAGCAACATGAAACACAAAGAAAAGACAACCCACCAAAAAAAGAAAAAAATTAAAGGATCTTGATTTGTCGCATAAGGATGAGCAGCGCTTACTCATGTTGTGGACACATGCCCATGCTAGTATATATTTTACGATATCTGTCCATATCTCCAACGCTTCAATGTATGCATGGCCCGAAGTGGGTGATATGAGCCCAATCATCTGCAGTGTAGCATTTACAAGATTACATAAAAAATAACTAAACAAATTAAGAAATTATCCTAGGCCTCATTTTAGGAACTATTTTTTTAAAAAAATTAATTATTAATTTGATCAAATAAAATAATAATGCAAAAACCATTCCTATTTTTTGTGGCACAAGGCGAGTGAAACAATGAGCACATGACATTCAATATATGAGAAAAACAGTGTAGTCTAGGAACTGTGGACAAAACAATGCAATAAAGTCCAAGGAAAGAACTATGCAATTGTTGTATTATCACTTTGTTTTCTAACATTGATATGGATTGGTGACCATTGTTAGAAAAACCGGGCGATCTAACCGATAACCCCTTGGTTAGATCGGAACTGGCCCCTTGCTGGTTCCAGCTTCGGACGGTTTTGGTGATCAGCCGGCATTTTAAAAATAAAAATTCAAAAAAAAATATATAAAATCCCAAAAATAAAAAATTTGATTTGTAATACATTTTTTAATATTTTTTACATTATCGTAAATATTAAAATTTGTTTTGGTCATTAATACTCACTTTTAAAATCCATTTTTTTCATTAATTTTCAAATTCATTTGAATATGTTTTATTTTAATCATTATTTATGTGCTTTTCATATTGTAGTAGATTTCTTTTTGCATATTTTTTATTTTTTTTAATAATTTTTTGGCCACCCGGGACTTGCCCGATTATAACGGTTGAATCGGCTAGTTTACTGGTTAGGCTGGTTAAACCGCTTCTGGCCCCATATACGGTTAACCATTCCAGTTCGATTTTGCGAACACTACTATAGACCATCATGTCATCTCTAACCATTGAAATCATGTATGGTGACTGAGAGATTGGGGACCTACCTGCCCACCAAAACAGCATGATCCCTGTTGTGGACATACTCTCTCTTCATTCCCATCTATAATTTCAATGGATAGTGATGGTACAACAGTCTCTGATCTCTTTATAGTACACAGGACTGTAATATACTTTCCCTCTTGATTATTGCTACAAATATTGCTATATAAATACCAATCTTATATTTCCCTGGATGAATTGATGCCCTGGTAGTGATTCTACTGATCATAGTTTAAACAAAGAGTCATCAAATTTAACCTTTAAGGTCTAACCTGTAGCAGTCTTGACTTCTGAAAATATGGTTGCCACTAAAAAGGCAAGCGAAATCTGTAAATTTACATAAATGAAATAAAACACAAATTGCACACTGTAGTTGTTCAATGTGAAGAACTTCAATCCTGTAACAGCAAAGTAGTCCACATGAAAATATTCCATTTATATAACTTCACGGAATGAAGGATCCAGGAGAGTATATTACCTATAACAGAGCCGAACATCACAAAACATAATACATATGCCAATGAAATGATAAGAAAATAAGAATAGGAAATAATCCAATAAGGGCCATCACCAAGGCCATGCATTTTCATCATGATCCGCAAGTTCTGTTGCTTCTCATAAACTAAATAGGTCAATATCACCTGTACGAACAGAAAATGAACAAAAAATTGTGTTAAAAAACAAAAAATAACCGCTAAAATATATGACATGTCAACAGACTGAAGCCTAGATTATCTTATGTCAAACTTGTCTCCAGCCAGGTAAACAGGTGAGGGTATTAAAATGTTTGAACCATATTTACACAAACGATTTAAGCAGAAAAATATTTCAAAGGTGTAATGCCTAATGGCAGTAATATTTTAGGTCCATGACAATTTGTGTTTATTGGTAATAGAATAAAGAATCTTACTGTTAGATTTCAATGTAGGTCTAAGAAGGGTGATGAACTTAAAGTTTCCCTTAACCTGTTCCATGCCTAGGTAAAGGGTTGCGTTGTGTTAGGTAGACAGTCAATGTAAAATTTTGCCAAAACTCATCATTAGCAGACCCCAATTAATTGAGAAAAAGTTATGATGATGATGACTGTTAGATTTCAATGTTCTCATGATGATGGCCTGAAGACACTTGGTGGGAAATGTGGTAATTTATTAGTACCTAGCACAAATTCGAACGACATTTTAAATTTTATAAAGTTCTTAAATTATTTAAGGGATGATACTAACAATAAGTTAAATGCTATCTAATTTAAATTAAACTTTTTAAAATCATCGTTTTAAGAATCCAAACATTTCACCATGAAAATGAATTTTAAGAGCCTACAAAGGTGTAAATGTATATTTAGAGAGTTATTGCCAGCAAAGGTCTAGGCCCCAAGGTGATTATATTCAGTAGGCATAATTGGAGTACTTCGGGTCATATAATAACATAAATAAATAAGAAGAAAAAAAATAAAATTATACAGTTAGTTATCAGCAATTATTTATCATATTTTTTAACACTTGTTCAAACAAAACCTTAGATATCTTGGTCATTTGGAAATGCAGGTTTGAGTATCATTATTGCAGAAAATTTTATAATTTGGTTCTTCTATCCATTCAGCTATATGTTATATGTGTATAGAGTAATTGAGTTCAGGAATTAAAAATGACAACGTACACCCATTATAAATGCCTATTTTTCCTTCATATACTTTATAGAAATACCCAGAGGATATGAATGGAAGTAATAAAAAAAGATATGGTGACTTATAGTTTGACTGAGGTTAAGACCCTTGATAGAGCAGAATGGTGGAAAATGATTCGTATAGCCAATCCCAAATAGTTGGGATAAGGCTCGGATGATGATGATGATACTTTATTGAAATAAAAGACATACAGTCTCTCAATCAATTAAGAGAATGCTGGACATCCAATTCACTTACTGGAAGAAGTAACACAACAATCCATGTGAAGAAAAGTGGACCAAGTACAGAAGAGAAATCCAGTGTAATTTTTGTTCCAGGTTTTGGCATTTCTTTAACAAAATCGATCAGCACTCTCACCCGTGCACCTATAAGAAACTGGAGGTATGCATTTGATGCCTACAAATGCAAGAAAATTTAGCAAATCATTAATTGGTTATGATAAGATATAGAAAACATTACGGAGATAACAAGGATGAGGAGTTAAAGAAACTCAAACAAAATATGTAGAAGTATCTCGAAGCCATGTAGCTAATCCCATGCTAGTTTGAAAAAAGGAACGTCCACTGGATATGGTCAGCCTTATTGTTTCTCAATGCAATATAATTCCAATAGAAAATGGAGGTGAAGAATCTGTTACTCCAAAAGAACTGCTCAAAGCCTCCAACTATTCTGAAAATGGGTATCATTACAGTACAGTTCAATATGGTTTTCTACAGTCAAATACTGATCAGTAAATCAATATAATTATGCAACACATTAATATATATTACGAACCCTCATTGGTCTAAAGTGAATATAAAGTGTTTTTATTCTAAAACTACGAAGAAGAGTTAATCCCTTGAAATATCTTTAGAAATTGTATCGCATATATCTGATTCCTAATAGTTATCATGCACCAAGTAATATGTTAGCTTACTTCTTGTGCCCATTTCAACATGTAAAATGTGAAGAAATTGGAAGTATTTACGTCAATGTTATAAATTGGCTGAAAATTCACAATGGCATCAATAAGATATGACAATGGAAAATTTTCTTTGCAAGTGATCCTGTACTCCAGAATGAGACCAATGCAAAAGAACAAACATATTTTGGATAAACATGCGGCATACCATCCCAGAAACAGGGCATAAGTAATAAAGTGTCTACATATAGAGTAGTTACCAAAGATGCCCACCATGTTTAATAAGTGTGGCAGACGTATCAAGGGAAGAGGACCCCTAAGACCATTAGACTTGGTAGCGTTGTACCATATATTTACATTGAACTTAATCTCATCGGAGTCCAAAAAATCATAGGCTGCATGAGAAATGTTATCGCCATCAACCTAAATGAAAAAATATGTACACAAATAGAGGATAACTGTAAGACATAAATGACAATATTGCAAGAAAAGAAAGCATATTTGACCACAAGGAATTTCATTTATCTGTTTTTCTGAATTCCCTTTCTTATATCCTTTGAACAACTCTTTGTTCACATCAGATGAGCTATTACGCCATAGATGTAAGATCTGCACAGATTGGACAACTGCACATAATTTCAAATAAAATAAACTAAAAGAGGATTAAGAAAACAAAGTGGTGACAAAAAAAGAGAGAGATTTATCCTTAGTGATAAGTTGGATTTCAGAAAGAAAAGCCCACTTACCTAGTTTATGTGTAATAGCAACTATCTTGATGGGAATTGAAAGGTTGAAGTTTGGGACACATTTGGGTTGAACAATATATATGGGATGGTCAGAGAGGAATGCAGGTTCGATAAAATTGGTGTACTTAGCCTTAGTATCTGTTGCCTAAAAAGGTTCGGAATCATAACTATTGTTAACTGAGGCACATTAACTTGAAATCTCAAGAATAATAAAACAAATCAGTGTCAATGCTCACAGGGAGGACTTCAGAAAGCATAGTCCACAGATCTAATTTCTTCACAGGAAAAGTATCCATGACCAAGTTCGCAGCCAATCCTGCCAAATATTCTCAAGTATTGAACCAAATGAAAAGAGAGATGCAAATTATAACCATAGAAAGTTAAACTAAGCCATGAACATCTTTACTTCCCCTAGCTATAAATATAGCATGATTACTAAGTGATAGGACTGCCAAAACATAACTTCTGGGTATAGTCCTGCATCTTTACATTACACCAACTACTTTCATCAATGAGCAACTTATGACCATTTCTTTTACAGTATAATTAAGTAACAAACAAGTTTTTTATGAATCCAAAAGACTTTGGTTTTGTTTTCCCATAGTGCATTGGACTTAGTGTACTTTCTAAACCAATTAGAGACCATATTCGTATCAAAAGACAAAAAAGAAAAGGATCATACTGGTTGCTAACAGCCTCTTCTCTCCTGTAAAAAGTATAGTCACAGGGCAAGTCCCTGTATCCTTGCACTTGCAATCAGGAAAATCGGAGAAGGAATTGAGATCAGTTCTTGAAGCTCGATAATTTGGATTTGGAACTTGTAAGAGAGCTGGCCATTTTTGTGGGGTGGCTATTGGACAAAACGGAACTTGTTTGAAGGTTGAATATCGCAATCCACATACATTTTCACATGACCCATCTCCTCTTATGTCAATACATTTGCAACCACATTTGTATATAGGCTTGTCCAGTTCATTGTTAACAATTGCTTGGAGTGTGATCATAATCAAGCAAAGAAAAGATGGAAAAGCAACGAGTCCGAAGTTTGTTTTCCTGTTTCGTTTCTGCAAACAGTTGAATACATAAGAGTAGCATTAGATGTATGGATGAGATATGACATTTACTCTAAGGGAACTGATATAAGAAAGCACATTTACATGATGAGATTTGTAAAAGTAAGCATACTCAGTGCATTCATTTTCGTGGCATTAGTTATGGAAATTGCCAAAAAATTTCATGTGACCAACTTCTTCCTACTCTATGAACCTAAAATCCCAAACAGTAGAAGAAAGTCACTCCTTCAAACTCATTCAATACTTGGAACTCAAGTACCATAGTAATTCCTGATTCCCCATTAACTCTCAACTATAACCCTAGAAAATATAAATCAAAACTGACAAAAACTTGCTTCATAGAGCCAATGGCACAGAAATTTCAAACCCTGGTTTGAAGCCACTAGTTTATTTCATCATTTTAACTATTCATTTTCCATTAGTAACCGACACAGTTCTTATTTGAAAATACATTTTGAAATTATAAACTATTACGAATTCTCAACATATTTCTTTCTGAATCTATCCATTCTTCATTGTGCCTCAACCTCATTATCTATCTTAATAAGCAAAATGGAATCCCCTGATTATAGAGTACCCATGAATATGCAAAGTAGAGACTAATCATGATATAAAACTGAGAGAAACCAGTTAGAATTTATCTGTTCAATACATGAAAAATAGAAAATGAAAAAAAGCAAAGAGAAAATCATGGAATTTTCTTATCCTTTTCAGGGAGAAACTTAAATTTAACTCAAAAAAATCATACTATGGGCTGATCTTTGAATAGGGTCAGAACTTGAATTTGATAGATTGCCTACTTCTGTAGGTGGTTCGGATCGCTTAATTTAATAAGGTAGGCCCTGCCCACCTTAAAGGCATAGGAAGAGCTACCACCCAACAGTGCTCCCTCAGATGGATCTCCAAAATTTTCTGATCCTTTTCAAGGAGAGACTTAAATTTATCTCAAAATAATCATACTATGTTTTTCCACTGTCAAATGAACGAAATCAAATGCATCGAGTTCGATTTTTTTTTATGAAATTTTGCCAATTTCTCTAACAGTCATGTACTTTTTTCTGGAACAAACAAATGGCTAAACTAAAGCTACTGGAACTGACGGCCACACAATGATTTCAATCTATTCAATAATAAATCCTTCAATTGAGGAAATGACTTTGATCCAATTAAATCTAAGCCAGCAAGAGAGCGAGAGAAAGAGGGGATGGGGGGGGTGGATTCAATATTAACTCTGATTCATAATGCAGAGAGAGAGGATTCCAAACTAAAAATCCCATCAATAAACTGTGAAGAGATAGAGAGCGAAAATGCTTTCCAAAATGAAAACGAACTGAAGCAAAAATGAAAAATGAAACTGAAAAAAATGAAAACGAATTAAAAAAGAAAACACAGATAAAAACGAATTTTACATCAAAATGCACAAAACTTTGAAAAAAATGAATTTAAAAAGAAAAAACACAAAATAACTGCAAAAACACGAATTGGATCACAAAATGAAAACGAATTTAGAAAGAAAACCACAAAGGAACTGGAAAACCACGAAGTTCATATTAAAATATGGAAAAACTTTGTAAACCTGAAACGTGATGTTCTTCCGGAGTAAAGCATCAGCCTGAGTAAAGAAAGTTGCAGGGCCATGAGATGACCCCTGCTCCTTCTTTCATGCATTCTATCCATCTTTCCAAATAAAAACAAAACCGTAAATTCACCCAATAAACAAAACCATGGCTCCTCAGGAGCTAATGTTCAAACCTCCAACCCTTGAAAGCGTATGGTTTTCTCCCGCCAAAATCGAAAGACCTTTTGCCTTTTTATAAACTATTCAACGGTCACTGAAAGCTTTAAAATGTTTTTAGTAACTCGCGCGGGAGCACGTACATATAAAGTCATGAGAAGACTATACTATAGGACTTTTTTTTTTTTTTTCTTTTTTATAATTTAACGGTGAGAATGGAGGGTGCCTACCCAACCGAGCACTACTCGCATTCCCAACGTAACGACCACTGTGGGAATAGAGGGCGGGATGTCATGTTGACGTATCCAGTGCCCTAATCAACGGCAACCCACCCCCATTCCCAATCATAGTGGGAATGGAGGGTGAAATAAGACCGATTATTTTTGGCATAGGAGGATTATAAACTTAGTTGTCAAACCTAAAATTAGGTCGCAGGGGTGTGTCATTTCTTAGTGCACAGTTTGAGAAGAATTTTCTCATAGTTGAACCCAAAATCAGTTTATAAGGGTAGACCATTTCTTATTATATCACTCAAACTAACAAGAATTATTTTCGAGTTCAAGCCGAGTTAATGATATTACTCCAACAACCTAATTTCACATCTCATATAAGTAGCAATAATTGTGACCATTTTGTACAAAAAAAAAAAAATACAGTCTCATCATACTTCCCCTTTATTATACATGAGATTGCATACAACAAAACCACTACCTTTTCTACATAAAGGTCACAAAATACCCCAAGTCATCCAATGTAAAATCTGATAGATGGGGCATTTCATGTCTCAAATTCAGAAAAAGAATTCAGATTTTTAGGACAGCAAATTGTGTATTTTCAAAATTTTAAATTTAATGGCTAGAGGCAATATCTATTTTTTTTTTTTAAGCCAAAAGTAAACGGTCAATTGACACAACATGGCACTCCTAGCATACTGCCAAATTAAAATATTTATCACTTGCTCATTGGGTAAATAAAAAATAATAACTGCTTGACTTGGTTAGGCTAGTTGTTTATCCCACCATGCACATTGTATGATGCAAGAGAAGATGTGACCTTTTAATGTGACTTTGATTGCAAGCATGAGATATGCTTATTTGACTTTATTTTGTTGAACTTTATGTGGGTTCATGGCACCAAGGTCCAATAACCCATAAAAAATCACAGTTGAATCTGGGAGCTGCCATTATTGGAATGCTAAAAAGGGATGGGAAGGCAATATGGAATGTATGTTTTAAGTAAAAAAAACGTAAGGTTGCAACGCAAAAATGTAGAAAAAAAGAAGAAGAAGAAGGCATACTTCAAAAATCTATCAAAAAATGGTTTTTTTACGGTGAAAACCCTTCAATTGATCATCTCAACCTCGAGATATATGTATGTAGGAAAAAAAAGAGATTTTAATATACCATTTTTTTAATTTTAAATTTCATAATTAGATGTGAACTAGTTTTTCAGGCCATCATTGAAATTTCCGACACTAAAATTACATCTTTTGATGAGCTTTTGGTGGTGTACCTTAATTGGATTGTTTAAGGTTGAGACCTTATACAAACCATACCCGGTAAGTAAACAGGAAAAATATAAAAAAAGACCATTTATTTTTAGTTTAAGAATGACACAATCATTCTTGTCCAATAGATTTCAAATCAGGTGATTGTGAGTATGTTATTAATTAAAAACAAATTCCCAAAAAAAATCTAGAACTTCATGCCGCACCCCAAGCCGTCCAATTTGACATCTAATGGCTAGTATTAATTGTTACCTCATTGTATCAAAGATAAATGATCTCATAGTATACAATCCCAAGTAAATAATATGCAATTTCAAACGAAAAAGTATACAATGAGACCATTTACCCTGGGTACGATTTCTATAAGGTTGCAACCTTAAATAATCCAATTAAGGCACACCTCCAAAATTTTTCATAACATGTAATTTTGGTGTAAAAAAATCTTAGGATCTATCTCAAAATTTATTTTCATATCTAATTATAAAATTTTAAACTCCAAATATGGTCAAAATCAAGTAGATTTATAAAAATATGCAATCTTAAAAATGGACGGTCTAGATAATATGTTGCAAGATGCACTATTTTTTGGGACTATATATATATATATATATATATATATATATA